AAATGACAAATGGTCAGCTTTTTTTATTCTGAAATGAGGGAGGATGCCTCGTGGAGTGCTTCAACAGGAAATATTATATTAAAGCCAAACAGTTAAAGAAGAGCCATTGTTGGCCGTCGTGTTCGGGGGAGGTTTACCTAGAATCTCTTCATCACCCGCACACTTTCAGTTTAGACGAAAATGTTCACAAGAGTGTTATCTCAAAAGAGTCATCGAAACCCATGTAGTCTACGTAGTTGTCAGAATGGTCGCATTTTTGTGGCATATTATCATACATGATGGTAGGTCATTTTCATCCAGCCTGGACTGCAATGACGATCTCGCTCGGAGACCATCAACATCTCCGTCGGGGATCGAAACTTGGAGGTGAACATTGTGGCGACAAGGTGCAACTTCGTATCAAGCTTACGGGTTTCCTTGGGTCACAGGAGAGCCAAATTCAGGGGAAGCCTGAACACCTCTGAAGCACACTTATTGTGGGATGCGCAATACAAAATTAAAAAAATACTTGCGAAGTAAAGTCGGGTTTCGAGGACTCTATTGATTTACAATTATTGGGTTCACTTCCATTTCGACTTGGGATGTTTGGTGAAGAGATTCTAAGTTCAATCCCATCACGACGGTGGATTCCTCTTGACCGAGTATTATTCTTACAAGCATAATCAAGCTAAAGAACCAGGAAAACTCACCCGATTATCCCTAAATGCTGTATATATATACACCTTATATCTAAGCTGTTTGTTGAATTATAAAGTGATTTGGTTAATTCAAGTCATATGCCAAACTTAAGGCATGTGTGTGTGCCTGTTTTCGTTTGTTTATATGTCTACATGTGTTCATATATGTAAATGAAGGCTTAAAATAACTAAAACAGAGCGCAATGTCTGTTCAAGTCAATCAAGATTCGATGAACACCACCACTCAGTTTATTTATATTTCGACAATTATTCAGATTTTTTAATTGTCGGATACACCTCTGGTTAAGTTGAGGAGCTGATGGTCTTCCTGTGAGAAAGCAAGATTGGACAATCGTAATTGGGTTGAAGCCAACAAATACTATTCGGGTAGCCTCCTTTTTCAGGCACCTCAACAACCTATCTATCATTGAGTCTATCAATTAAGCTTGATTAGTCCTTACTTAACTTATTACTGGTATTATTTACGTTAGGTGTATTGCCTGTTCGGTTGATTTTGATAGTCGATCTCGTACATATACGAACACATGAAAGCAGATAACCACACAAATGCAGACATACACGTGCTTATAGTTTGGCATGTAATTTGAACTAACCAAATCACTTTATATCTTAGCAAAAAGGGATAAGCTGGTGAATTTTCTTGACTCATTAGCTTGACTATGGTTGTAACGATGATAGCATGCTCTGATAATATCCGTCAAGTGGCTGCTTTCACCGGAATCGAAGGAGATCACCTCGAAAACAGCGCCAACAAGAAGGTTCCAGTAAGGCCAAACGGCAGCTGGTCAAGAGGAATCTGCTGTCGTCTTCTGGTGGGATCTACCCTCAAGTCTCTTCATCAAACACTTGCACTCTAAATGGAAGTAAACTCAATAAGAATGTATTAACCATTTTACTCGACGATTTCTAGAGAGATTTCCGAAATGTGTTTGTATCAAAAACGAGTAAAGTCTTTGATTGCAGCAGCGAATACATGTTTTCCGTCTCAACAACCCCACCATAAATGTAAATTATGAGAGGTCCGGCTCACTTTGAATGCCATATCCACTCTGTGATCAATCGGTAACTATGGTTGGATTGTGGAATGGTAACATATCGCCACAAAGCTCACGACCCGAATTCGATTACTGTTTGGAATGTTGATAATACCTGCGCGTGGTGGAGCCTGCAGTACAGCCTGAGCGAAGATATCTTTCGGGCGGCAAAATTAAGTGAGGTTCAATGATATTTTCGTGAGAGGAATTCCGTTATGAGTCCGCAAGCACTTTAAGTATCATTAAGTCCTCAGACAAAAGGGTGGCCGACTGCAATCGTAACTACTTCCTATAGCTTCACTTTGTCTACTGAAGGAGATGATCCAAGATTTTGGGTTAGATCATGCTTCCCATGCATAATTGTAGAAAAGTGAACTTAATTAGAGATTATTCTAAATCCAACCCTTCCTCACATGTTGATGTTGTCATACCACGCGTTCCACTTTAAAAGGATGATAGAATGGATTCGTAAATTGGCTTTTCCGGAACTCAATTGGCGAGAAGCTATGCTGCGACCCGATGAATTTTTGCTAAATTCTCGTCTGTTATGTGAGGCAAAAACAACCATTTAAGCAATCATCAGATTCACCAGAACTCTATACCAAGAAAGTGAAGCTCTTTAGAGTTTTGGTACATTTTTTCGAAAATGACAGTTTCCGGCCTTGACATTGTCCGCCAGATGACAGACGGACGCCCAACACAGATCTCTCGGGTGGCAAGAAGTGGTCCGACAGCTTCTTCGCAAAATCAAGCCATCACAACCCGAAAGGTGGAAGGAATTCTGCGAAACCCAGTTTAGCTACATTTCCGCATAGACACAGTCAGACGTGACGGAAAGCAATGAGTAGACCACTTCATAGGACAGCGTTTGTGCGAGGCATAGGCTGTTCTGGTGCATTGAGTAAGTCGACAAGATCAAGAAAATGGGCGCTTCGTAGGCAGTGCAGGAGGACTCACTTTGGCCTGAATTCCAGATCAAAGGGCCTGTTGGGCACGAGTCAGCTTGGTCATACGAAAGACTGGACTTATCCGTCTTAAGCACTAAACCGGTTGCTCAGGCCCGCCTGAATAGAACTCATTCCGACACATCGTTGCCTAATTTCGATATGAGTAGCCATCGATGCGATCAGTAGTTCGTGAAGGAGATCTCAATCAGACTAAGTGGCATAATATGAGATGTATTCACCCTATTTCGTTTAAGGTGATGAAGGACTGGTAGAAGAAGAATTTTCCCACAATCATATGAGTTGAGCTGACGTTTTCCATTGGCTCAACTCATATCATTGTGGAAAAATTCTTCTTCTACCAGTCCTTGATGACATTAAACGAAATTGGGTGAATACATTTCATAGTACTGATTTACTGGTAGTCACGAAAACAATACTTAATTCGAAAAATAAGTAGCATAAGTTGAGTTATTTTCCATCCAGGCTGGACACCAGCTTCTGTCTCGTATCGGTATCCTCAGTATCCCCAGCAGGATTTGATGCCACGTCATAGAAGTCGTGACAATGGCAAGCCATTCAACTTCCAACGCCCGGTACAAGTATGATTGTCGATTCAGCAAACATTTATTACCACTCTAATTGACGTTACTTAGTCTCTATATGAGTAGTATTATAGACTATCATTAATTGTTGAATAATAAATCCTTCCGAGTGAAAATCTTCCCAAGCTATTCTTGCTTACTCTTTAAAAGATGCCAATATTGGGTTACGCAACCCACTGGCCCTAAAGCACAGAATGGGGGTCCTTTCATGTGGTGGCTTTCGAGGGCCTTCCGCGTGTGCATCTCTGGTTCTCATCTTCCCTCGCCTGTTTGAGGCTTGAATGTCTGACCTGCCTGTCCGAATGGAAAGAACTGTTGGCTATTTTAGCCTGTTATGCTACCGTCAGGTTAGCTCGAGGCTAAGAGAGAAGGACAGGTTGTCTTGCCTTCAATAAATTTATTCACAGTGCACATGAAATGCCGCTCCCAAATGCGGGTCGTGCAGCAAAGAAGCGGAAAGCGGTACTGTTTTTTGCCTCGACTAGTTACAAACACGGGGTCCCTGTTGGTTGCCGTGACGAAGAGACGAAAAAAATAGACGGTGTTTAGCCGACCGTCAGTCAAAGTCTGCCCAGGTGTCCGCCTGGGAGAGTAGAAATAAGTGAAGCGTTAATCAAGATGTGATGAGGGGCCAGCGAATATATATATATATATATATATATATATATGTGTGTGTGTGTGTGTGTGTTTGCGCTTGCATACTATGGTATGTGTGTGTGGAGTGAGGGAAATGAAGATACCTGCTCAGCGATGACGTGTGCCAATGTACGGTCGAGTGTTGTTAATCAAAAGGCCACAAGGTCCTACCCTAACCTCGATTTGGCAGCTAATAAACAAGACGGGTTCTCGGAATATTGGTAAAGTTAAAAAGATAGGACTAAATCAGTCTGATAAAGATTCAGGAGCTGATTCATTTTCGCCCAAGCCTTTGAAAGCTCCGGAAATGCGAAGGGCACCTAGATTAAGTTTACCATCACTTTTATGATATATACCGCGTGAGACATAAGCCCAAGTAAGAAAATCAAAAATATTTGTCGATTGTTTCCATGTTTCCCAATGAATGAAAATTGGGTGCATACGCTACGAATTTCACTTCTTGAATTTATCCGTCCGCTCCTCGCGGCAAAGGGTATGATAAAATTCGACAAGTTTGGACATTGAGCTTTCATAATCGTTCTAAAATAATGCTGAAATTGACGATGTAAAATTATAATCAATGTAGGCTAAATTAGTTGACATGGTTTCTTTTTCAATGTGCAAAAATTGTAAGATTTTCTAGCCAAGGACCCGTTTTGTTGTGTTGCTATTCGAGTACACTAAATAAGTGCGTATTAGACGTGGCCTATGAATGCCAAAAATGTCGGAGGGGCCACAATTTAGGATGGATGGGGGTTGAAATACCAGTTTGTGGGGAGACATGATAGTGGATTGTGATCTGCAAGTACCCATCAACCAAATAAGCAAATAGTGGCTTAATATATGAAGACCAAGATGTAGTGGCTTCTGATATGGTCTCATTCTCCTTTCAATTTATAGAAGTGGTTTGACCTCGTTGTCGTAACTTAGTCTTGTTGTCAGGGCGACTTAGTAGAACGCACCCAGTTCGAAGTCGTCTGTCATAATAGTTGTCATGATTCCCAGTATTAGACAGTAGACATGGTACATTCTCAGACGTTTCTCCGGCATCGAAGTCGGCATCATCAGTGAATGTTGTCATTCTCCGCACCAAGCTATGAACTTGTCAAAGAGACAAGTGAGGAGGATATCCTGGAATCACAACGGATCGGTAGGAAGTCGTTAACAAGACTAATCAACTTGACAATAAGGACAACCTATTTTACATTCAACGGAAACATCTATGACCAAATGTTTTGACTTCCCATGGGTTCGCCACTCTTACCACTTTTGGTCAAGTCCACCGTCTGATTCTGAGAATCATGACAACTACTATGGCAGACGACTTCGGACTAGGTGCCTTCTACTACGTCCCCCTGACAACAAGACCAAGTTGCGACAACGAGGTCAACCCACTTTTAAGAGCTGCTGGTTGCGATATTTAGCAGTAGGGGGCAAATGACAAACGCATTCTCATCTATTGTGATAGAGTGTTTCCTTCTTTGCCGTTAGTACACAGGACCAAGTTCCAGCGAAGCCGAAGAAGCCATTTGTTAGTTTTCCCAAATCCTTTTGACGCCTAATTTAGTGCTGAAGAGCAATTGGCTCAAAGGGCAGAAAAATGACCGGACACATGCTTTCATTTTGGATGGGTGAAGCTTTTAGGACACGCCTCAAAGCAAAATCGGTAGTACGATATGTGAGGATAAAGGGCGTGGAAAGACATTCATGAAAAGATGTATCCATTGCATCGTTTGAATAAC